ATGGCACTTTATTTTCACCTTATATAATAAGTTTTAACACATATATTTGGAGTTTTGAACTCTAATTCTATGCCTTATAACAGTAAAAAGTATGCCAAATGAGACAATGTTTCGAATTATTTTATATTGGGTTGACCCTTTTACTTAAAAGTATGTATATTGCAAGCGAATGGTTAGATCCGGAGTCACCGCTAACGTTTTGGATCTAATGAGTCGGATCACGCCCAACGTGTATTAAACACCAAACCTGAACCCTTCAATGGTATATAATGGGTATCGAATCAAACGGAATCCATTCGGAAACCGAGCATCTCTCCAATGGCACCCCCCCAGGGGAACCCCCCCCCCAAAGAGTATGTTAAGCTTTTGGGGCTCTGCCAGGAGGAAACATCACTTTTTTGAAAAATCATACTGGGGTGGGTTAGCTTGAGATGTACGGCTTAGATTGTGATGATGCGCAATCCGGTCGGTCCTAGATGCCGGTTACCTCACCTCTGATGGAATTGGAGGTGCCTGAAACAAGGAAGAACTTGGAGACTTCCGGGGAGGAACCCGGTTGGAACGCTCCGAAGCTCAAGTCAGTTCTCTAGAGAAGGCAAGGGAAAATGAGAGACTTCAAGACCAGAAAGCACAAGATATCACATACCTCCTTCTTTGAGAGATGGGGGCCTTTTATAATTGCCCTGTACACTTACTTCCATACCTCTGTCAATTCGGGTATCATTACCTCCGCCAGATCGGGTGTCATTTCCTCTGCCAGATCGGGTGTCATAACCTCTGTCAGTTGCCAGTTCGGGTGTCATAACCTCCACTGTCAGTTGTTAGGGATGTCTCTGCCACGTCTGAGATGGCGGTGGCAGGTGGCCGTTGGAGGGCTGCTGTCATGTATCGAACCCCTAATCAGTTAGGTGCGCCGCCTCCATGTACTGGTTTCCTGGGCATCAGGTACGATTGTTCAATCAGGCGAAAGGAGAAAGGAGCCGAAGTGGTGTGCGAGGTGAAGTCTTGAGTTCGGATAGAAGTGTGGCCCGAATTGCCCCGGGGTGGGTCAGCTCGGGTTTTTGTCCTTTGCGCTCCTTGTAAGGCTCAAGACCTCCAGGGGAGAGTTGGGTTCTTCCTTGGGGAGTTCGGGTCATAGGTCCCTTCTTTGGGGGAGCTCAGGACTCTTTTTCTCAGATTTCGGGTTGTAGGTTCCTTCCTTGGGGAAGCTCGGGACTCCTTTTCTCGGAGCTCGGGTTATGGGCCCGCTGCCGTGCCAAGCTGGCGCTTCTACCAGGTCACTCTCGGTTGCTTCCATGTGTCGCGTGGCCTAGGGGTCGGGTCAAATCTTACTCCATCAATTGCCCCCCACTCCCCATGCCCGTGGCATTAGTTAGGATTGAAAAATGATAAAATTAATTAAAATAATTTTTTGAGAAAAATATTCTTTTAATCACTAAAAATTACCAAAAATTGAGAAAAATCTGAAAAAATAATTTTGAATGATGGGGGTTGCTTGGAACACGTACAAAAAAAATTGTGCACCAAAATAAGCTGGTTTCATATCGAAAAGTATTGATAGAAATGTTTTTTCACAAATATTTAATTTCTAGAAATTATAAAAAATTGGGAAAATTTATTTTGTAGAAATAGAATTGCATGAAATCAAAAGGCAACGCTCTATCCCAATATAAAGCAATAAACTATATGGTTGGATTCTTTTCCTTTAAGTAGGTACCACTCCCATAACAATGATTACCTTGAGATCTGTCGTAGCTACAAGGCAATCTATGAGATTCCATCTGTCAAAGAAGATCTGGCACAATGGATACCAGTAAGTACTGTTTTTGAATTCATGTCTTCCCTATTTACCTTGGCATTTCCCGACAATTATTCCCACTTGCAAGTCCTACGGAAAATTTACTGGTATTTAGTGTTGTCTCCACATGATCCATTGCAGTCAAGCCTTCTTAACTCTACTTTGGAGGATAAGAATCTAGGTGAAATTCCAAATTTAGGTATATATTTGGTGACAGTGGATTTGCTTTTGAAGATGTGAACCTTATTCGATAAATTGAATTTTAAAGTCCTTGTATTTTTATATGTGAACTGGATATTGTATGTGAAGAAGAGTTTGATTTGGATATTAATTAATCTTTAAATTAATATATTTTGTTTTAAATTGCATTTTTTATTACTAACATAAAATACAAATATAAGATTCCAACTTCCAACCAGTCGGACAGTAGGGTTATTTTTATATATGGTGGCTACACAAGGGGAGTAGCCCATCCAATGTTGGTGGTGACAGGATTTCATGTCTCTATAATAACAAAGTTGCACTGACACGAATTCACATCTTCCGCTCACAGAAACGCACCCCAAAAACGCCCCACATGCATATCTCAGTGTCCATTAAGAATATTTTCAATACTTGTCAAAAAAGATATTCCTAATACACCGATGGGATGTGCTGTGGGCACATTCTATGGGACTGATGCGACTTCATAGGGCACCATACAAGTACTGAAGAAATATTCCTGATACGTTGCTGTAGTATTCAGGTTGGGCCAACCTCAATTGCACTCTTACTTAAACCCTTTTATTTAGTTTTCATAATACAAAGATATATATGGTCGCGAATCATCTACGTAGCAGGTTTTTAGGTAGGCTCCGTGAATCACGTGGTCGGTCCCACTAAAAAGTCAGTCAACATATCAGTGTTTCACGATTTAATACATTTTGAATTTTTCATCAAGATTACCCTTAAAAACCAGAATACAAGGAATTAGGTGTTCAAGCATAATCTAAACACTTTTTTTTTTACATGTGGTAAATGAATTTGAGAATTTCCAAAGTAGGGGTATGGATATCTGTTATGCAAACTCTTTGCTTTTCTTTTTCTCTCTAAAATGAGAGAAAGGCGCTGCACATGTTCCTATGTAGCAGTACTGAAAGGTGTGGTTCAGTTTAGTCTATACGTTGAATTGAGTCATTTCACATTTTATCGTACGTCCATATCTAAATCTTCGTGGTTTCAACCGTAGTACTTTTATAGGGGGTGGTGTAGTTTCAACCATGCCAAAATGGGGCCTAGCTAATTAATAGATTTGATTGAAATGAAATTCTTATGAACTTCCTCTCTTATTAAACCAAATATGTATTAGACTAAGCATTATTATTGATCGCATATTCGCAGTTTACTTCTTTTGTTTGATTTAGACCTGTTCTTGGGCCAGGCTTTTACTTTTCATAAACAAGATTTTATTAGGCCCAAGCCTGAGTCTGCCCTAACCAACGGGCCTATAATTTGGGCCTGAGCCCGGCCTTAATAAAAAGCCCGATGCCCGACCTAACAAAAAGATACATCGGTGCTTGTATCTGTGTTCGTCAACAGTGCCTGTGTCTGTATCTGTGTTCGTTGCCAACCAAACAATAAGAGAGGAATAGAACAAAAGGGCAAAGAGAAAAGACTCGCTATCGGTGCTTGAGTTCACGTCTGATAAATGAACTGAGCTGAGATTCTGAGAGTGAGAAGGAGAAATGAGAAGAGGAACAATCGGACAATGAAAAGAGAGAGAGAGAGAGAGAGGATTCACAGTTGGTGCTTGAGTTTGCGTGACTCTGTTATGAGCACCCGCACCACACGGTAGCAGTTAAGGCAGCAGCGCGCACACGACAGGCACCGCACGGCAGTGGCACCATGAGTCGCGCGCAGCACCGCGTGCACGCACCACGCGACAGCGGCACCGCGCACACGCACCGCGCGGCAGCAGCACCA